AAGCTCAGAACTAAGTGAGCTAACAGGTAGAGTCTGGGCAGGGTGTCTAGAAGCTAGGGTGCATCTGTTGCCACCATGCCAGCTGTTGGATTTTCTTCTTTTTTATTTTTTTATTTTTTGGGTCCCGTCGTGGGGCTTGAACTCTGGGCCTGGGTGCTGTCCCTGACCTCTTCAGCAAGGCGAGCGCTCTACCACTTGAGCCACAGCACTACTTCCAGTTTTCTGGTGGCTAATTGGAAATGAGTCACCCAGATTTTCCTGCCCTGGGCTGGCTTTGAACTGCGATCCCCAGATCTCAGCCTCCTGAGTAGCTAGGATGACAGGTGTGAGTCACTGGCACCCTGCCTGATTCCATTTCTTTATGTGTAAATGTACAGATGCATCACAAGAGCCACATTGTAGACGTTTTTGTATTGTTTTGCCAAATGCAAGACTCAGGTTGTAATGTCACTTCTCTTTAGAGCTCTGTTTTGTTTTCTGTGCTAATGGTAAAAGCCAGGGTGCTTGGACTGAGTTAGGAAGCCAGGTCTCAGGATTAGGCAGAGCTGTGGTTGGTGGTGGTTGGAGGTCAGTTTGGTCCTCACTGAGTCAGGATTCCTGAAGCGTCCCCAGCAGGCTGTTCCCAAGCTTGTCTGATTGTGTGTGGGCTACCCTGGAAGAATCGGGCCATGGGCACTTAGTGGTCAACTGCTTTTCCAGGCGGGCAAGGCCCTGGCTTTCATCCCCTGCATCATAAAGAGGTTGCAGGTGGGGAGAGACTTCCCAGAAAAAGTACACGCAGAAATTTGACCTGAGTTTCATTACTGGTCTCCAGACCAGCTGGAGCGCAGTAGTGAAGTGCTCGTGGGTCAGAGCTTCCTGGGAGGGTGTTTCCCAAGCGAGGACGCGGTCAGCTCCAGGAGCTCTGTTTCCTTTGAGTAAAATAGTGAACCTCCTGTTGCTCTTTTCTTCACCAGCTGCCCTGTGTGATTACTCTGGGTTTTGACTGCAGGCGCAGAATCCGAATTTGCTGTGACGAGCTGAATCTTTTAGTTCCGTTCTGCAACGCAGAGACAGATAAGGCAACAACCCTTCAGTGGACCACGGCCTTCCTGAAGTATATTCAGGAAAGACACGGGGATTCTCTTAAAAAGGTCAGTATGTAAGTAGGCCAGGCAGGCGCTGGTTCATCAGCGTTCTTTATGCGCTTCTTTGCTAAGTGTCACTCAAGTGACACTCAAGTGTCACCTGGGTTTCCAGGAATCTTAACACCAAATGCTAGGGAAGGTGTGATGGACACTCACCCATTAATGCTATCACTTGTTCAAGTCAAAGTCACAGCCCATACTTGCTTATGAAAGTGCACTATGTAAATGGCAATCGAGTCTGAATTGTCAGGTAGCAAACTGGACAACTTACTGTGTACAGTGTAGTGTACTGGGGCCTGCAGAATGTGGAGGACATGAGTTTTGCCCTCCTGAAAACTGTGAAAATGAAGAAAGCAAATAGAGGAAAAAGGTAGACAGGTGCCCAGTAGGTAGTCTGGGTTCTCAGGTATATTCAGAAGGCAAGCAAGCCACATTTCTGTGGGAGGGGCTGTGAAGCCCCCCAGTGCTCCTGGCTCTGCTCCAGCCAGGCCTGGGCTGCGTGGGGGGGTTGACTTGGCCCTGGCAGTGGTGGGTTGTGCACTGTGATTGGGGCTTCAGTGCCCAGCTGGCTCCGAGTCAGGGCGCGCAGCTTTGTCCCTGCGGGCGTGATGGTGCCTTCGCGGAAAGAGCAGGCCCGGTTGGGTCCTGATTTTGTGTTGTGCCCGAGCTGCTGGCAGTGTGGAGGCCAGCACTCCGCCTGCAGGATGGGCTCAGATGGCACGGCTCCCTGGGAACTCAGAGGGGCCCCAGCTGGCCGCTCTCCAGGGCCTGTCCACAGGCTGGCCTCATCCCGCGGGCTGCTCTCTTACCTCCATTCTCCAGTGCATCACAGGTCAAAGCCGTATTATGTTGAGTTTATTCTATTGTAGTTACTTATAACGTTGTCCTTGAATATCATTTGTTAATGGTAGACTGTTGGTTTGTTTTAATAAAATAAAGCTTTACTATTTGTTAAAAGGCTTAAATTTGGATTTGTGTATCTATTTGTAGTAAACTATTGATATGCTTCAATTAAATACAATGAGAGTTGTAGGTTTTGAAGTGTTTGTCAACTATACTCCAAGATGATTAAATAGACTTAAAACTCTGGATATAATATTCTAGACTATTTCTTGGATGGTTCTGAAATTTTATTATATTGATCTTGTAGATTGTTTCTGGGTCAGCTTATCAGACCCATCAGGAAGTAAAGCTGGCTAGAAATCTGGGGCGTGGTATGTTGTTGGCCTGAACACACTTGTCCTTCTTGTGCGTGGTGAATTTCATAGTCATTGCGTGCATGCTTTTGTTCTCTTTTTGAGGAGGATAGTACAGGGGCTTGAGCTCGGGGCCTTGTGCTCGCAAGGCAGGTGCACTACACTTGAGCCACGCCACCAGCCCGTCTTTGGCTGCATTTTTCAGCTAGGGCCTCCTCTCTCTCCCCGTGTCTCCCACATAGCTGGTGTTACGGTTGTTTGCTACCACAACTGGCTTCAATTAGTGTTGTGCTGAGCAATGCAGTGCTGTGTGTGCCTGTGTGCCCAGCACTTGACCTCTGCCATTCCTGCACGCTCCCTTCATGCACACACTTCAGCGATAACCACAGACATGAACCTTCATCTCAAAGTATTTCTGCAGGTGCCCCAAAAGGAAACCTCCACCCACGTGACCTGCACCACCCCCACCCACAGAGCTGGTGCCGGTGCCTCCCTGGCTTCACCCCCTGCTCACGCTTGTCCACAATGCTCTTAAAACGACCTCCACAGCGGGACTGACTTCTCCCTGACACGGCACGTGGCCATAGGTTGTGTTCTGCATCTGACTCTGGCGCTCGGTCCCAGTTGTCTGTAGAATTCCTGCTTCAAGATCTGGATTTTTGTGATAATTTGTGTGTGTGTGCATGTGTGCGTGTGCGCGTGTGCGCTGGTACTGGGGCTTGAACTCGGGACCTCATGCTGGCTCTTGACTTTTTTACTCAAGTCTGTTGCATGGGTCACCATTCCATTTCTGGCGTTTTATCAGTAAATTGGAATTAAGAGTTCTCAGATCTCAGTCTCCAGAGGAGCTAGGATGACAGATGTGAGCCACCCGGACCCAGCTTCAGGGAAGCTCGAGAAGCTGAGGCCGCATCTGCCCCACCCCTCCACAGTCTCTTCTTCCTCGTCCACCCCTGTCCCTGCACCAGGCAGGAAGCACAAGTCACTGGCCTGGGGTGGGCGAGGGTGGGGAGACCCTCTTTGCAGGGTGGAGCACATCTTGCCCCTGCAGACCCTCCTGCCCTCACCCCAAGCCCAGGAGGGTCTGCCCCTGCCACGCTGGCAGCTGCCGCTGGCCTTGCCGCCGGCGGCCCTGCAGTGTCACTCTGGTCCGTGAGCATGCGAGCACTTGATGCCTTGAGTGTCATCTGCATGGAAAGCCTGCGTGTTAGGGTGATGGAATCTGCTCGTTTAATTGCATTCTTCACGGTCTTGCACAAGTAAAGCCCCGTCTGCAGTAGGGACTCAGGCCAGGTAAGTGGTGTCACTAGCGTGCGAGGCTCCGTGCCAGTGGAGCGCCGAGCACTGCGGGGCAGCCGCTGAAGGTGCCACTGCGACTGCTGCCTTCCTCAGACCCAGAGGCCGGCGCGGAGCCCTGCGGCAAGCCCGGAGGGTGCCCCCCCACGGCTCTGTGCTGGAGGGGAGGTGGCCAAAGTGACCAGCAGTGGTGTTTCAGCGTGTCTGCGGCCGTCAGCCACATGCGAAGCAGGGCTCGGGGTGGCCCTCTGGGTTTAATTACACAGTCTGGGAATGCCGCTGACGGGATACGACTGACACAGATGCAGCAGTGTAGATGCCAGGAGATGGGGTCCCCCGGGGGCTCATGTGGAGATGGCCGTGATGCTTGTGTCCCGTGTCGGCACGTGCATGAAGCGTGCCCCCAGCTCCCGCAGCGTGTGCCGCAGTGCCAGGTCCTCTCCAGAGATGCGTGTGGGAAGAGGCCCCTGCATCCTCCGTTCCCCCAGGTCTGGGCTGCCTGGCCCTCATCGTCCTGAGCTGCTGCTCGGCACCTCCTTGTCGAGGTCCTTGCCCTCTGGTCAGGGAAGGCCGGCTTTGGGTATTCTGGAGGCCAGCCCCGCCCCTACCCACAGCCCTGCCCTGAGCCGGTCAGGAGTAGTCTTTCATCATTCCCTTTTACTTTGAATGCTTAAAATGCATTCAAAGTAAATGCTCACAGCTGTCATCCCAGATACTCGGAGGCCGAGATCTGAGGATCATGGTTCAAAGCCAGCCTTGGCAGGAATGTCTGTGAGACTCTTAATTTCATTTAACTGAAGTGGTGAAGCTGTGGCTCAAGTGGTAGAGTGCTAGCCTTTAGCAAAAAAGCTCAGGGACAGCACCAAAGCCCTCAAGCCCCAGGACCAACACACACACACACACACACACACACACTCATATTTGTTACTATCCTTGTATAAGGGTTTTTTGTGAGGGGGAGGGAGTGTGGGAGTTGCCTGTTAGTTTTTCATCTTGCTTCCTAGTGAATGCACTTAAAGCAAATTTCTGTCTTACTACTGTCTCAAAAATATCCTGCAGGATGAAATGTAATGCTTTCACTTACTCTGAGCAAGTTTTGTCTTACTTCTTCAGCAGGGGGATTCTCTGTGTATGTTACACTGTGGTCAATGAAGCTGCTCTGTGTAATAAAGTTTAAACAATTTCTGGAGTCTTGGCACTCTGACCTTTTATGTGGTCAACTAAGGAAGTTCATGAATATTTGGAAATAATGTGCCTCCTTCGTGTAGAGATTCTGCATTGATTAGGCTGAGATTGTTGAGATTCGAACCACCCCTTCCCTTTCCTCCGTCAGGCCTGTGTGGATCTGTGCTCTGGTTAGATCTTGGTGTTCTGAGTGTTTGTTTTACATACTTGGCACCTTTGTTAGCTACGTACTATTGCCCACCTGTCTGATACCTTCTGAATGCTTTCTTTAGTCAGTTTGAAGTTTCTTTCCTTGTTTCTCCTAACTTCGCCTTTAACCCTGGAAATATTACATACACAGTTTTCTTCCTCACGACTTCCTGACATGTTTTCTGAATATAAGTAGAGCCATCTTTGTTTCTCTTCTAAGAAGTATAGCCTTGGGCTGGGAAGGTGGCTCAGTGGTTGAGTGCTTGCCTAGCATGCATGAAGCCCTGGGTTCAGTTCCTCAGTACCACATATGCAGAACAGGCCAGAAGTGGTAGAGTGCTAGCTTTGAGCACAGAGAGGCTCAGGGACAGAACCCAGACCCTGAGTTCAAGCCCAAAGACTGGCAAAAAAGAAAAGAAAAAGAAAAAAAAATATAGCCTTATTATTGAAATGATTGTCATAGTTATAAACCTAATAAAACAATTACTTTGGTCAAATGCCATCTTGAAATGTTTTGATTACTTGTAAGAATTCTGCAGTCTGTGATCTGAATTCTTGGGAGGCAGAGATCTGAAATCAGGAATTGCCGTTCGAGGCCAGAGGAACAAAGAAGCTCACAAGACTCGAACTCGCTTGGTGGCTGGGCACGTGGCGTTCTCCCCCCCTCCCCACCCCCCCACCCCGCCCCAGGCCAGTTGGAGCGTAAAGCGAGGCCCTGCCTTAAAACTGTACAGTGCCTAAGAGGGCTGGTGGCACGGCTCGAGCGGCGGAGCGCCAGTACAGTGCCTAAGAGGGCTGGTGGCACGGCTCGAGCGGCGGAGCGCCAGTACAGTGCCTAAGAGGGCTGGCGGCACGGCTCGAGCGGCGGAGCGCCAGTACAGTGCCTAAGAGGGCTGGTGGCACGGCTCGAGCGGTGGAGCGCCAGCCTAGCGAAGCGCAAGGCCCTGCACCCAGTTGCAAGTATTGCCAGAAAGCAAAAATACCTCCTTAAACAACAGCAACAACAAACACCTGTTTCTCATGTTTTGTTGAAAATAGGTGCTAAGTAAAAGTGCAATGGGAGTAACTTAGAGGTTACACAGGCGTTCCCACCCCCGTTCACTGGGCTGGGCTGGGCAACCCGGCCTGCTCCTCACCGAG